ACCTAGATATATATATATATATATATATATATACCATGGTTCTTTTTTTTTCTTAAGTCTCAGGAAAATAGTTAGAATTCTGATATTGAAGTCAGAATCCATCTATCGAATTCTATCTTTTTCTCAAAACTGACATTTTTTCGCAGAATTAAGAAGAAAAACAAAAAAACTTTTTTTACACGGTGGCCCTAGTCCTTTTCTGTACAATCAAGTCACCATAAACATACATAAAATAATATAATATACAGTATAATCTAAAATACAGTGAGATTCTTTGCATAATTCATGCCCCTATTTAAAAACAAAATGCTCTAAATGTCTTCAAAAACAGGCCAGTCAAACAAAGTTGTAACTTTATAATTGAACAATGTGTTTTTTTTTAGTATTTGCAATAAAAAGTGGTATTACAGTAATTTTGTACAATCTTTTTGTATAAGTTTGTTTATCCGAGGCAACAACAAATGGAACAAATCAGAAAGGTTACAGTCGTCTTCTGCAGCTATAATGCCATATAATTACACTCTGCGTCATGCAGTTAAGTGCTACACAAACAATAACATCAACAGAGAACAATTACAAAGCCAATGTAAACTTTACAGAAGGGAAGTACTCATACTGCAGATGTGCTTCGGAGCCCAAAATAAGCAACACAGAAAAACAAAAAGCTAAAAACAACATAAAAGCCTTTTCATTGACACCAAAGAAAACTGAACCTGAAAGGTCATATAAGCACAGCTTACAAAGATAAGAAAAAGTACACAACGTATACAAGTAAAAAAAAAAGAAAAAAAAACTTTAAAAATGTTTTGTACCTTGATGAAGACATATTATAACGTCATTCCATAAATGTGACATTCTGGACCTGAAAACACGTCACTGGCAGGTTATTAAAGCCTTTTGCTTTTAATTATCCAATGTTTATAGCTTTTATTTTGAAAAGTACTTTCAATGCTATCATCAAATATAGTTTTTCTACTTAATAAGCTTAATTACTCCAATTTTACATAACGGACCCTAAAATCTTTAACGTGCATGGCCTTAAAAAAACACTGGCAATGTGAATAGGCAATTTAGCTTTGATCCTTAACTGATTTACAGTTTAGGTATATTTTTATTCCACAAGTCAAAGTACCATTTAATCTCAGTTTTAACTCAAAGACAAATAAAACTTCTTTTTTTTTTTTTAATTTAGCACAAATCAGCTAGCTTTAGACAATCCTTGATGAGCAAAATATTTTCCCCATGTTATCCAGCTGCAATTTACATCAAACTAAGATCACTTAAAGTTGACATTTCTAAACGGAGCCCAGGAACATTACATAATGCCTCTGATGAAGTATAACTCTAATAACGGATTACAGAAGAAGGATTACAGAATATTGCAGATTATCATCAGATACAGGAAAAAAAGGTATTTAAATTACATTTGAAAGCATGACATAAGGTGATATTTAATGGCGTTTAGTCTAGTGATTTTGTGCATGGGTGGATATAGAGGTGGAACCCAGGGGCACAGGACCCCACTGAAAGCTGGTTGTCCCTGACATGCTCATGTCCGGTTGCTGGTAGCCTAACTGTAAACAACTGGGCTTACAAATTGTTACAAACTGTTACAAATTAAACATTACTGACACTTTTACTGATGCAGTAATTATGTCATGTGTAGATAAAACCAGAAACAAACACCACATGGATAAAGCTAGTAATTTTTTATGAAACAAGAATGCAGCAAAAATAAATGAACTGACACCCACCCAGCAGTGTGCCGCCATTTTTCTAATTTTGCGAACAACAAATAATGCATGCTAGCTGATTGAATACTTGGTACTTTTGTTTTTAAACAAACTGCAACCCCTTCATAGCCCTTTGATTGGACAAATCAAAGATCTGCCCATGGTATAGCTGTAAAAAAAATCAGAAAAAGTACATTCTGGTGTTGGCAGAAGCAGGAGCTGGGTTACAAACAACACATCTGACATTATGATCAAAGTTCTGTGATTTAACAAACCATGTCTGACAAAGTGACATAAATCAGAGATGTGTCTCAAACATCCATAGTAGAATTGAGTGTAAACCAGTGCCAACAATAAACAGCTGTCTTATATAAGGGAAGATGTGGAGCAGCTATATTTATGAATGTTAGAACATTTAATATCATTATTTTGTATTATTATTATTTTAACCCATAATAACATTGTAAATCTATTTGAAAATGAAATATATTGTAAACAGTTTTGATAATGATGAAGGCTTATACATTTTACAGACTTGACACTGACGTATATATTCATCTGCAGCAAGACTGATTTTCTCCAGAGCTATCTTTGATGTACAATTATCAGAAACGAACAAATAACATTATAGCTTGCAATCATGAGATAACGTACTATTTTTATGTACCCGTGGAAAAAAAAATTATGGAAATAGCTGTTTAATTTTGTACTTGCTTTCTAAATTGCAGTTTTTATTTAGTATATTTATATTGCATATAGACAAGCGTACTTTGTAAAATGCCTTTGCTCCATTATTTACTTAGTTGTGTCAGTCATAGCTGCAGGTTGTAGAGTGAAAAAGATACATACTGGTTACAAACATATTTCTTGACGTTTAATACAAGGATGCATAAATGCTAAAATAGTACACCTCCACACAATGACACAATTGCACCCTTGGTTTAAGAATGTATTACTCTCGAACTGTCCGTCAGTCACAACGCACACGTTCTTTACGTGGTTGCTGCCATCTAAAAAAATCAGTCTTTGGTAAAAAAAAATCTTCACAAACTTAGTTCATTTTGTATTATTTAAAACACTTACTTCACAACCTGTGGTGGCATAATGGCTGTCTTTTGCTGGGGTGTTTTACTTTCTGGTGTATCCAAGATGCCACCTTTTCCTTTCTTCCTTGGTGGCTTTTTCATAGGCGTCTTCTTTGGTGTAGAATCCAACAGGTCCCCTGTCCTAGAGCCGTTTAAGTCCTGCTTCTCCGGGCTCTTGACTTGAGAGGTCTCAAAGTTGTTGCTGACAGGTGCCACCATCTTCTGGAGGCTGCTTGAAGTGGGTAGAAGAGGCTTGGCAGAACCCTGCTGGCCAAGTCCACTGGAGGGGGTCCTTTTGGCTTTCTGTGGAGGAGTGGGCTTCTCTTGATTGCCCTTGGATAAAGAGAGACCATTGGTCTTTGTCAGTCCTGTTCCCTCATTTCTGTTGATACTTTGAGTTTTTTCCTTGAGCTGAGCGGCAAGCAGAGTGGCTGCTTCAGAGTTCATATGAGGATGGATTACCTTTGGACTCTTGGGAGGCTCCTTAGGGGTCTGCTTTGGAGTTTCAACACTCTTTTTTTCAGGTGACGAACAACGGAAGTTACTTATTTTCTTTAAGGCATTTTGAACAACACCATTGATGTGCACCATGTGATTTGGACTGCTGTGCTCATTCCCAGACATTTTGCCTTGCAGAGGTTTGTGTTTGCTGGGGGAACCATTTGCATCCGTCTCCTTGTTCTTGTCTTTATGCTGGTCTTGACTCTTTTCCTTCATTCTCTGCCTCTCCTCACTCTTAGATGAGCCATCACTGGAGCTTCTGTTTTTCTCTTTTGGTAATGCAAATACTTTAATCCCCCCTTGATGCTCTGACTGTGGAGACCCTGTTGTATTTCCATGTATCCAAGACACTTTGGGTTTAGTAGATGGATCTGGTGGGCGTGGTTTTGGCTTGCCAGGTGAAGCTGGTGGTTTTCCACTGTGCTTGGCCTCTGGTGTAGGGGTGCCATCACGACCTTTGCCATTCTCCTCCTTGGATTGCTTGGAGATGCGGGTGATGCAGGCATAATGGGCTGCGGTCTCAGAGCCGCTGTTGGAACCCTCACTATCAGAGGACTTGAGTAAGGACTGCTCACCGCTTTCTGGCTTGACACTTGTGTCTTTTAGAAAAGTGTATTCCCCTGCATCCTCTTCATTATGATTATTTTCGTCGTCCACCGCAGGGCTGAGAATCTGCTTCTCTTTGCTCTCACTCATAACAGATTCTGTTGATTAATGGCAGTAGAACAGTAAAGGATGCTATTAGTTCAATCAATTAGTTTTACCTAGTCAAAGAATATTTACAATATAGCAAAACAGAGGACTAATGTAAAATAATCTACAATTTCTACAGAACAGTTAGTGTTTTCTCTTTTAATAGTAGCCTTTCACTGATTCCTCAGTAGGTAGAATTGTTCTAGTAGAAAACTAATATTCCATTAACTTTTGTCAGATATTTGTGTTGAAGTCAGTTCAACTCAAAAAGCTATATAAGCATTGTGTCCATACATCACATTTTAAAACCTCTTCATAATGTAATTTGTTGTTGCTGTTTCTTTTTCACTCAGTCCATTGCTTCTAAGTTTATACAACTAAACCAAATCACCATACTGGCACCATTAGTCAATAAATGAATAAAAAAAATCCCTCCATTAAAGACTGATATATGTGTCATGCTTCCAAAATAGAAAGTGGAACCAACAGGTGTTTTTCATCAGTCTTCAAGGAGTTAGGTCATGGCATGAATTTGTAGCATACGCCGACTAGACTGTTCCATTTCCTGTTTAAAGTTGGCTTGTTCTCAAGTAAAATCTGGGCCTACATGGTATATGATTAAAAGTCAACTATATCCATAATGTGATTTTCAGAAAAGCATAAGTCACTGCATGGTTTATCTATAGAAACTGACTTCTTTAGAGACATTTACACACACACACACATGCAGTGTGTACGTGTGTGTTTATCCCTTCTATGCCAATGATGAACCCAGAATTTTGGGTGGGTCATTCTAGATAACCAACTGTTTATATATTTATGTAATGACTGACCTTCATGTGGAACACAGTAAACTGGCCCTTCATCTCCGCTCTCAAAGGAAGAGAAGGACTCCTGGGATGACCACGAGGAGGGGGATGGCTGCTCAGCTGCTGAAGAAGGCGGCTCGATGAAGCTGCAATTGAAGGTGTTCTCTGGGTCATGGTGCGCTACTGAGGACACAAAACAAATGCAGAAGCCAGAAGGTTATTTAGAGGGTTTTACTGCATGCTTTATGATCAACAGTCTATTATTACTCAGACTTTGGGTAGGCTTATTGAAATAACTGGTTTTAATCTTAAGCTTCTTTCACAAAGTGGATATTTTCCCCATAAAGTTGCTCTATTTTTCAAACGGAATAACGTTCAACCATCGAAGTTCACATTCATTACTTTGGTGGGTTAGCAGCTCTTGTGACTAAAATATCCAATAAATTCTATAAAAATAACTTCTCAAACAATAGAAACAAGAGAAAACATGCAGTGCACTGATGTCTAATGTTGCTGAGACATTTGAATTGTTAATGCTTGTAGTTTTTCTGGACTAGAACCAAACAGGGAATGCTTGTCAGGGCCCAAGATGAGGTAGAGATAGGGCAGTCAACTCGGGACCAGAAAACCCCAGATTCAATGCACATCTCGTGGAGTCTCTGAGCAGCACATCCTATCCCCAATTGCTCACTGGGCACCCTCAATAGCTGCCCACTGCACCACCTGGGGGTGGAAAGGTTAAATGCAGAGATCCAATTTTGCCATTGTATGGGAACATACAATAATGGCAACACAAAACACGTTATTGTAAAGTTTAAACTGTTTTGGTGCAAGATAATCAAGTCAGGTGTTATATTGTGTTCAAGAATAGAAGGAGATGGTCATTATTGTTTTGCAGAGTGACAGATCCTGGGGAATGGAGGAAGCAGTTGTATTCACGACCAGGTGCAATGGCAGAGACAGGGGGTGGCAAATGGTGGCTTTGTCCACTATAGATTAATATTTGGCCACCCCAATCATTTGAGGAAATTATTATTGTGTTTGTGTGTGTGTGTGTGTGTGTGTGTGTGTGTGTGTGTGTGTGTATGTATGTATCTATATGCGTTATTTATAATTCTATATATATATATATATACTGTATATATATGTGTGTGTGTGTGTATCCATACGTAGGCCAAATTGTCTCTCTCTCAGCGTCTTACTCTTTTCTTCCCTGCCCCCATCCGACACTGAAGCTTTCTGCTGACCCTTCATTCTCGGGACAGCTGTGGTTTCTGAGGCATACTTGGGGTTTATCTTTCCATCTGGTGTGAACAGTGCAGTTGAGATCAATGCACTAGCCAGTAACTTTGACGTGAACAACCACATCAGACGCCCTTGTTTACATGCCCAATGACACAAAGTTCCCTCCGTTTGTTTAACACTTAGATAAACCCAATGCTGAGGAATTTAAAAGACTACACAACAAGTCAGTGTGTGACCGAATCCTGGCTCCTTAGTTGTTGCTTGACATTTAAAAATGACGACAACAGAACAAACAAACAAAACTATGAGGTACTTTGGTACATTAAAATCTATAAGCTGATGTTTGCAGTTCATGTAACTTATACAAACTGTGATAAATGGAAAAAGTGCATTTGTGGAGAGGACTTAACCTCGTTTTACGTCTAGCTGTCAAAAATTCTCATTACTTAAAATAAAATGTTCTTAGTAAATAAGATTATTTAAGTCTCATCTCATAGTTGCATTCCATAAGTTTTGTTTCTGTCAATAAATTTGTAAAACAAAAAAAAAAATCAGTGTTTACTTTTATGAAATTTTCATGGTTACGATGGACTGTGCACTGGAGAACTTATCAAAAGGACAACTTAACGTGTGGTTCTGTGGGGTTACTGTCAGCCATCTGTTTTATTGACAGTCATCAGAGGGATGTCAGTTTGTTGAACCAACGAAAAATTCTTCTTGAAACATCCAGTTAATGGATAGTCAGTCACACCAAAGTCTATCCCAGAGTGGATTTATGGCATTTAAAACAACTCAAACCTAAATTTTTTTTACAATGGTTTATTCAAATACTGTTTAAAAAACTTACACAACCATCCCTTCTGCATCAGCTGGTCATTTAAACACAAGCCTGGGGTTATTTACACTGAAGACCACATTGGTTGACGGTGTGTTCCAGGCGAAATGTGTTGCAAAGTAGAATGTGTAAAACATGGCTAGCCAAAGTAATAGCAACTGCTTGAAGAACTGTTACTGGTACATTTTTTGTGGTTTGAGGTGACGTAAATGGCTGAAATCTATGAACAGATCTGGTTTGATTAAGTCGAATCCTGAGAACTTCCCTCAGTTTCTCCAAACTAAGACCCCCCCTATTTCTATGGCAGGTAAGAAACTTCTGCTACCAATGTCACATAATCCCCCAAAAATAAACTATTCCTGTAACTTACTGGTGCCACACTGAATCACTTTCTTTCAAAGTAAAGAAATGAGCAATGTGCTCTTCAAGTTTATTTTTGAAATATTACAAAACAGAACATTTTATTAGTAATAATGGCTGCAAGGAAACACAACTCATAGTTTTGAATGTTATAAACAATTTAACATGTATGAAAGGTCTTGTCTATAACAAAACTATATTTGACTACTATTAGGGCTGGACAATAATTCAATATTGATATATATCACAAAATAATTTCATTCAATAACGGTGATATAAGTTGTAAGCACATTTTTGATATTTCGATATACACTGCCTGGCCAAAAAAAAGTTTCCACTTGGATTTAACTAAGCAAATATGTACGAGCCTCCTATTGGATAATTACTGCATGGTTGATGATCTTTCAGCTGCAACAAGTTATTTAACCCCAACTGGTGCAATGAGTTGTTATTTCTTAAACAACCATGTCGAAAGACCCATCGCGTGGTCGTGGAAAAGATGTCAGTCTGTTTGAGAAGAGTCAAATCATTGGCATCAAGCAGAGAAAACATCTAAGGAGATTGCAGAAACTACTAAAATTGGGTTAAGAACTGTCCAACACATTATTAAAACTGGAAGGATAGTGGGGACCCATTGTCTTCGAGGAAGAAATGTGGCCGGAAAAAAAATCCTGAATGATCGTGATCAGTGATCACTTAAATATTTGGTGAAATCAAATGGAAGAAAACAACAGAAGCACTCAGGACTATGTTTAATAGTGAAAGTAGAGCATTTCCACACGCACAATGCAAAGGGAACTCAAGGGATTGGGACTGAACAGCTGTGTAGCCTTAAAAAAAACACTAATCAGTGAGGCTAACCAGAAAAAATAAAAATGTGTCAATTTGCTAGGGAGCATAAAAATTGGACTCTGGAGCAACGGAAGAAGGTCATGTGGTCTGATGAGTCCAGATTGACCTTGTTCCAGAGTGATGGGCGCATCAGCATAAGAAGAGAGTCTGGTGAAGTCATAATGCCTACTGTGCAAGCTTGTGCAGGCAGTGCTGTGATCTGGGGTTGCTGCAGTCGGTACAACAACAGTATGTGCTCAAAGAATGAGATCAGCTGACTACCTGAATATACTGAATGACCAGGTTATTCCATCAATGGATTTTTTTCTTCCCTGATGGCACGGGCGTATTCCAAGATGACAATGACAGGATTCATCAGGCTCGAATTGTGAAAGAGTGTTGCAGGGAGCATGAGACAACATTTCCACACATGGATTGGCCACACAGAGTCCAGACCTTAACCCCATTGAGAATCTTTGGGATGTGTTGGAGAAGGCTTTGCACAGTGGTCACAATCTGCCATCATCAATGCAAGATCTTGGTGAACAATTATTGCAACACTGTATGGAAATAGATCTTGTAACATTGCAGACGCTTATCGAAACAATGCCACAGCGAACGCATGCCATAATCAAAGCTAAACGCGGTCCAATGAAATATTGGTGTGTGACCTTTTTTTTTTTTTGGTGGCGATTTATGTTTTGTTTTTTGGTCAGGCAGTGTACATTACGCTATGATTACAGCATTTAACTGACACATTTCTTTTTCTGCTCGGGTTGAAGCGGTGCTTCAGTTTAAACTCAAACTGAAAAAGCCACAACACAACAATGTAAGTGCGTGGCGACGTACACCACAGCTCAAGAAGTCAGCGGTAGCAGGCTAGGCTAATCTCCAACCCGCGGTAAGTTTACTCTTCAAAATGAGTGCCCATGGCCGTCAGAATGTGACTGAACAAGCTTTCTCAAGTGAAGAGAAAGCAGATGACATAAACGATAAGAGAGGAAAGACTAATTTGGCGATGTAGACGTGGTTCAGCTACCTAAGATCAGTGTGCTGCAAAATGTGACGGAGAGTTCTTCCAACTAGCGGTGGGAACACATAGAACCTGTTCCACAATCTGTAGAGTTTCCACTCGATGGAATCTGCTGAGAGTCAGAAGTTGAAGCACAATAAAAGTCTGAGCCAACATGTCCCTGAAACAACAGCCCCAGATGTATCAAAAGAGAAACCCATGCATGTTGTTTAAAGTTCAAACTATTAATATTGACAAAGTTGAGAGTTTTATGTTGATTTGATGGTGATTTCAAATTTATTTGAAGGCTAAATACAAATAAAAGGTGAACATTAATTTATTTGTACAGTTTGTACAGTTTTTCTGAGGCTTTTATATTGTTTATATCGATAACAGAATTATATCGTTATCGACCTAAATTGAGAAATATATCGTGATAAAAGTTTTGACCACATCGTCCAGCCCTAACTACTATATACATTGTTGAACAGTAGATTGCTCACAGTGTCAACCTCTGCAAAAGGAATCAGCCAAAAGAAACATAGAATGGTACATATTTTATCAAATACAAAATAGTTTATTAGCCAGACGTGTAAACTTGATGCCTCAGTGTATTGCATGGAAATACAAAGGGATACAAAATAATAATATGCTAATACCTTAATGAATATGAGGGCATGTGGTATGTTTTTATTTCTGTTTGTGTGTGGCCTTCATTCAGCAGCAGACCAATGGAAAAACTTTGATTTAGGAATGTGGAACAGCTAACCTATGCAAAGTTATCAGTCAGTGCTAATCAACAACAATAAAACACATGACACTTTTTTTACACGCACAGTTGTAACGTTACATGCATGTGGTAATGCATTACATGCACGCAATGTTGAAGAACAACTGCCCTTGAAAGCTACTTCCTCCAGACTGTGGGTTTAGTGGGGCAGATTGCACTGCAGACTCGACGCCACTGTGATCCCTCGCTGTGAGAAAGCCTACACACAACAGGGCATTATTGACTGGGCACAGCTGCAGAGACCAATGCCTCAGTTGCTCTGCGGGTCTGTAGTAGAAAACGGTCTGAGAGGTAAAGGGCAGCAAGAAAACTCCTACAGATACCTGATGGAGCTTTGGAAACTTGGAAACTGATAAAACGTACCAGTAGTACAAGAATAAATAAGTTATGGCCTATGCAGAGTCTAAAACAAACATTGCACTGAGTGACATCACAGCCTAGAGATCAAGAACCAGTTCCTATTAAGTTGTCACTTTTAAAATATTAAGCTATTAAAACTTAATCTACCGTCCTCCTTTTAAAACGATGCATTCACATTTGACTTTTGAGTGTGAGAACATTTTTTTTTCCACTCCATTACGTAGCTCACAGCTTCATTCTGAGTGCTGCTGAGAAAACATTTGCAAACTCAAGCCAACTTCTCTTGGGTAAATAAAGATGAAAAAAACAGATGGTGCTGCTCATAGCACCGATTCACAAGGAACCATTTAGACACAGAGGATGCAAGGAATGCTGGACAGCCATGAATATGCGGGGCGTGGAGTAAATACACTTAAACCGGAATGCTAAACTTCAAGCAAACAGCCTTGGTTTGGCCAAGTGGGGAAAAAGTGACAATAGTTTGCCTGGATTGCATCTGGAACCAACGGGAGTAAACAAATTCTGCTGACCCATTTTCATCCTTCAGTTTCGGTTTGCCACCTTTATTGACGCTGACCCTGGTGTGAATAAATCACAGCTCTGACACTAGCTGAAGTAAATTTGACCACTTCCTGTTTCCAGCCCCATTGGGCCCCTCTGGAATGCATGTGTTCAGGACCGTTGAGCTCCTGACATAGTTAGTTTCTGAATGCTGCCAGATCATGCTACTGTGGGCAGCCCAAAAGAAAACATGCAAAAATTTGGACTAGAAAGATGAGAGCAGACAGAAAAGTTTTGCAATGAGTTAAACTTTGGTTTGCAACTAAGTTTGACTAATAGTCTTGTTGCATACGGCTAAGGAAAAGCCATAAACATGGTATTTATTTTGGCAGTGAAGAACATCACTTTAATATTTTGCACAAGGTTGACAAGAGCTATATTCAAGTGATGATTTATCTGACATAAGACGCATATTATGTATGGCTCAAAACATAAGGTGGAAAAAGGAAAAATCACTCATTCAGTTGTCAAATAAAACATAAGTACTGACGTTCAGTAACTTCTTTCACAACAATAAACATAAAGCTTTTTTTTTTTTTATATTCACATGCATTGTAATTTGCAGTACTCAAGCAAAAAGAAATATGATTTGGCTCTGTGTCACTGGATAGTCAGTTAATCTTTAGGAATTAAAAATGTTAGAAAGGATTGAACATTTTACAGAGAAAAGACGCCACGAGGTCGACTAATGCAACATATAAATCTTTGCTTTTGAGAAGCATTCGGAAGGACTGGTTAATGGTTTTGTTGCTTAGTTATTAATAAACTTTAGGTTTTTCTGTCAGTGGAACATTTCCCATTGTCACAACAAATCACATTATCTCTGATATAGCGTAGCAAATCCAGACATTTTCATCTATCCATCCATCCATTATCTTTACCCGCTTATTCCATTTTGGGTCACGGGGGTCGCTGGTGCCCATGTCCAGCAATCACTGTGCGAGGGGAGGGGTACACCCTGGACGGGTCGCAAGTCCATCACAGGGACACATAGAGACAAACAACCATTCACTCTCTCACTCACACCTAGGGACAATTTAGAGTTACCCATCAGCCTAACATGCATGTTTTTGGTCTGTGGGAGGAAACTGGGGCACTCGGAGAAAACCCACGCATGCACGGAGAGAACATACAAACTCCACCCAGAAAGGCCCCTGTACCGGGGTTTAAACCAAGGACCTGCTCGCTGAGAGGCAGCAGCTCTACCAGTTGCGCCACCGTGCTGCCAGACATTTTCATAGTTAGTATAATTCTATGTAAAAATAAGAAGACCGTCTTCAAAATTTAGAAAATGTGCATAAATAATGTACAAATTCATTATAATGTTCAATATTTATGCAGCAGTTTGCAATCCATTTTTTTTTTTTTTTTTGCCATTTCATGTCAGAGCTACTGTTCATTGTTACAATTTTGGTAAAGAATGCAAGATGGGCTCATGTAAAAATCCAGCATTTAAATCCAGCAGTGAAAGTCTATTCTAAAAATATTTCTGAATACTGAGCAAGTAGAACAAACAAACACGGCAAACTGTTGCAGTGAGGTTTTAAAGATCAGCCTATCATTTCTGTTTACAATAAAAAATAAAAAAAAGTGTCTGCGGTCGCAGACAGATCTGTCACACGCCACGAGACCTCCGCACGGAGCGGCAGCGTTTACCCAAACAGTGCAGCCTTTGATAGAGTGTCACTCACCAGATGCCCCCCCAACAACCACTTGCCATCATTTAATAACACGCCCTCCTTTTTAGCAGAGAAAAAAAGTTGAAGGAGGAAAAAAATGATGGAAAAAGGGAAAGAAAATGAGGAGAAAAGTTTAGGGTTGTAATAATATGAACACATGGATTTCAAAAGTGCCAAGAATAATAAGGGGGTCTAAAACCAGTGCATTCCTTTCAAATGAAACCCCGTTCTCGCCTGGCAGCCATCGTACCCTTTTCAACCCTATTCATCTTCTACACAGCAGACAAACGTAGCGCCGAGGGAAAATGCTCACACTGACGGACATTTATTGCTGCCATTGTCTGTGCAAAGCTGGAAACATTTAAATGTTACAAAAACCTACAAATTATTCAACTTCTACATTGTAAAATCACACAAAACGTGAAATATAGCCTCTGGCAGTGATGCGGAGAGATGTGAGAGAAGTTTAGGGGCTTACCGACTACTTTGGGCAGTTTCTGTCGCCTCAGTGGAATACGGGGAAGTTTGGTGCTGATTCTGCTGAATCGTCCACACAAAATCCGCTTGGCTTTTTTGTTGCTGGTGGAATTGTCTTGGTTAGCACTGCAAAGGGGATGATGGCATGGAAATCCAAAATGAATCATTCAAAAGAGGCATTTAAGACCTGGCTGTCTGCCTCCATAGAGCCCCCAAAAGAGGACTCGCATTCTGCCACAACCACACAGTCAGGTCAGTGTGCAAAAGAAATGCTTAGATTAAAATCATTTATTCATTCAGTGATATAAATATATTTTTTTCTCCTTATGATTCTTGTCTTTCACTCACTTGTGCTTGTCTTTGAGTTGGCAGAGGCAGCAGCAGCACAGCAGTGAAAGAAAGACAATCAGTAAAAAGGAGACCAACGAGCCAGCTGCGATCACACCCATCCGCTGGTTGGGCTCTGAAAGATAAAATGCAGGCAATACTGGGTGCGCCACATGTGTGCAGGGTATGCCATTTTCAAAATAAATTAATTAATTAAGGTTTCTTGTTATCCTGGCTAACTGTAAAAACTGTAGCAATTAGTGGTTTTAGATGGATTAGAAATAAAACTGCATTCAGATGATCAGAAGATTGGGATTAAGTCAAAGTGAAGCTTTTATTTTTTTGAAAACGGGGCATAAAACACTTTTTATTTTTTTTCAAAAAGTTTCCTCCTTTCAGCCCCTTTTTATTAAATGCCCATCATCATAAATCCTCAATGATTTATTAACACCCCTCCCGTTTCCAAGTGGGATACACCCCAAATGTAATAAAATACAGTGTTGCATAACTATAGAGTATTTTTGTGCTTGCAAGGACAGATGAGAATGAAAAAATGTGGAGAATAGATTTCGGTCAGGGGTATCGTGTAAATATTAGGTGTGTTACGTTTTAATTGTTGATTTTGAAAAGGGGGTGATGCAAGAGTGACAAGGTCCTGTGATATCACTAACCAACCTGCCACCATTTATCATGTCTGCTGGCCAGTATCCCAGCCGTTTCCGTGTGCTTTTAGCTACAGCTCCTGCTAAACCATTGACATATTTTTTCTTTACTCCACCTACATTTTAGTTTTTTCTTTTTCTTTCCATTTCTCTATCCCCCTTTTCATTTCTTCTTCCTTCCTTCCTTCATTTCCCTCTGCTCAGGCTGGACAGGAATAGAGCCAACAATCACAGCCATAAAAAGGACACCGGTTTTGGTCTGGAAATGCTGTCAGGGCCCCTAAGTCTCCCACTAGACACATTGACCTGAATAGTTGTATTTGTTGCTACTTGGTTTGTACAGCCAGCTGTTATTCAATTAATACACAATGACAACTGCTGTCGTGTACGACAAACCCTCTGAGTTATTTTAGTTTCTGCAGCATGGAGAGCTACGTACAAATCCCTCTCAGGAAGAACGTGATAAAAGCAGCTTTCCATTATAAACTGATCACAAAGTCTAAGGTCGCTTATAAGAAAGGTCTTTCTTACGGAGATGGCATGCACCAGACACCGGATCGCAGTTCTTGGTATAGCAGGGGCAGGTTTGGTTGCAGTTGACTCCATACTGGCCAGGCTGACAGGTCATATTGCAGCTTAAGTAGGAAAGAGAGACAAAGGCAACATGTGTTTAATGTATTGCAGGTGGCACATGTGTGAAATGGAACAAAGAAAGCAAATGTGCGAGTAAAGTCTTTGTTCTTGTTTTCTGTGATGAGATTGTCAAGAAAGTGTTGAGTCCTCAAGCTGTAAAAGTATTTCTTTGGTTTCTAAGATTTGTAGGAGTGTGACAAACGGAATATGAAAGCATTTGATCCTTTTTTATTGGATACTGTTAATCTGACAAGGGGATAAAGATGCTTTTTTCAAATTTTTCTTGTGACTTACTAGGGGCCATAAAAGCCTGGGTCACAAAGGCATTCTCCGGTGACAACATGGCAGATGCCATTAAAACAGTGACTACAGTTGTTTTCACAGTTCTCGCCATACGTGCCATTGGGACAGCGCACCTCACACCTGCCACATATAGAAAGAAGTCTCTAGTTAAAAGTCATGATTGAAGGTAATTTAAAAATAGAAAGGCAGTATGAGCATTCAAAAATTACTATGGGGTCTAACGTTGAATCATTCTTTTGATCAAAACATATTCAGTAGTTGTTTTTTTTTACCTGTCCCCAATCCAGCCAGGATTACAGTGAGAACATTTTCCCTGGATGGGGTCACAGTGGTGACCGTCCTTGCAGGCAGGACACACTTCCTGGCAGTTTTCACCAAAGAAGCCTTTGGAGCAAAGCTGATCGCACCGTGTCCCGTTCCAGCCTCTTTCGCAGGTGATGCAGCGTCCCTCTGTCACCTTGCAGGGCTGCTGGCCTTTGCAATGCCCACACCTAAAGCCCCCGAAGAGCAAAGAGGAAAAGCTATGATGTATATTGTCCACAAAACAATTGTTTTCTTATCTTCATTTTAAGGATTACAACGTATGCCAAACTGGTGATCATTTATTGTAAGGAGTGACATCCAACGCTGAACTGTTTGCGCAGTCTTTTGGGGAATTATTTTTGTGGTACAGATTGTAAACACTCAGGATAAATTTCTTCCACATGTTGGTGGATGATTATGGGATAATATGAAGACCGGCTATTATATCTTACCCTGTTTTGCTACAATGAGTAACGTGTTTAGAAGCTGTATCAGCTGCAGCACATAGCCAAATCACAAAAGCACTTAGCATAGTTCAGACAAGGAAAATGACCAACGAGCATCTGTAAAACGGCACGCTTCCCATTTCTTGGACAAGGTAAAATTGCGGTCTGACTTTTGTTTTTCTCCTCACCTGTTTCTGCAGTTTTGACCATAGAACCCAGCAGGACATGGTTCCCTGCAGAATTTCCCACGATAACCAGGAGTGCAGGTACATGATCCATCAGCCTGGTTGCACTTGCCATGGACACACTGGCAGTATCTTTCACACCGTGGACCCCACAGCTTCTCCCGACACTGGCACCGTCCCATGTACTGGTCGCAGGGCGAGTTGTTGCAGTTACACTGGGCAGCACAGTTCCTCCCCGTCCATCCAGGATGGCACAGACATCGGCCTGTGTTCACATCGCACATGGAGTTGACGCTGCAGTAGCAGTTGTTGTTGCACTGTGGACCCCAGACTCCAGGGTGGCATGCACACTTTCCTGTTTCCTGGTCACACTTGCCCTTTTGACATAGGCAAGGCTTCTCGCAGTGAGATCCCCAGCGATTGTGGTTGCAGGTACACTTCCCAGTCAAATCATCACACTGGCCATTAGGATAACAGTTACATTTCCCCTTGCAGTCAGGTCCCCAGAACTGGGCAGGGCACTCTGTCAAAACACAAAGTAATCAGGACTCTGTGAAACAATCTATAGTGACTTAAGAAGTGTGCTAATACTTTCAACTAGCACAACCACTTCTAAAATAATAATGCTTACACACCTATGCCAATTAAATCAAAGTGCACTGAGTCAGAATTACATTAAAAGAAGCCCAAAATATCAATTTAAACAGCATGTATTAACTTGTTGACCACCAGGTGGAATTAGCTGAGTCCACCTAAATTCGTTATTGCACCAGTTTTATTGCTCTGACCGAAAGAGTGAGCTTTTTAAACATTAAAACAAAGTTATGTGCCTGAAGTAACAAAAATGAAAAGGTCCAGTTTTGTGCAGACTTACATTTAAAAGGCTTGACATAAATAAAACATTCATTTGTTAACCTTTATTTAACCAAGGTCCTTCTAGGTGTGAGGTAACAGTGCTAACCATTACATCGGCGTCCTGCCCTCGTGGCACTATCAGCTACAATCCATTTCTGTTCCTAAAAAAATGAGTTTTGAGGAGTTTTTAATTTGTTTTTGTTTTGTTTTGTTTTAACAGCGTGTTAATCATGGTTTTCCCTACAGTTGTGCATTTGGCAAGTTTCATACTGTTTGTAATTTATTATTTGACGTGGTAGCTTGCAGTCGGCTCAGGAAAGTGGCTAAAGGCTAGAAGGGTGCAGGTTTGCCTCTGGCCAGGGGCCCTTCTTTGTGATGTTTGCATGTTCTCCTCTTGTGAGGGTTCTTTGGGGATACCCCACTTCCAAGAACCATAAGCATGCAAAGACCCTAACCCTGACCCTAATGCCGAAACCTTCCCTATAGTGTGGATGAGAATGTGAAAACTTTCCTGTCTTGTTTGCCTCTCAGGACCTGCCCAAGCTGTACCCTGTTTTTTTTACAGGAGTCTACAGGATTACCTGCATCCCTGCTACTCTGCACAGAAAGTGGGTAATGATGATGGACGGACGGACGGATGGATGGATGGATGGATGCTTACATTTTCTAATTGGTTGGTTACTCGTTAGTTAAATGCCTCAGAAGTTACAGCAGAAGTTCATGCCATTCCCTCCATTGTAAAATATTTTAACCTGGTTTCCTGGACCAAACACTTCTACACCCTTGATCTTATGGAGTCTCAGATTAACCATTTCAACTTTACTGGTCTCAAAACACCACCCGTAAACACACGCAAAATCACCTAATTGTAAAAAAGTGGATAAAGTAAAACCTTACTTGTGTCACAGCTGGCTCCAAAGTATCCATGACGGCAACGACATTCATTCGGCCTGACACACACCTCATTTTCATTGCAGGTGAAGTTGCCTTCACATAAAGCTGAGGTGAAACAAAATGGGCCAAATGAATGCACAATGAACCGTTTGACATGTTTGGATGAATGATAGCACTACTGCACATACCTGTCAGACATTCATCCCCTAGCTGCTTCCATCCACTGCAACAAACCGATCCTGGCGACCTGGAAACGTTTGTGTGGTACAAAATAAGAACAGAATGACAAATAAAAAAATAAATAAAAAAATGCACTGAAGAGGCAACGTCCACTCCTAGTTTGTTAATGCTAACCCACAAACAACTGTACATGATGCAAATGTTTGGGACATTGTCGTGCAATGACCTCATTGCGGGTAATTCCATGTCTGTGTAAGATAAATGCTCTCTAAAGGGCTTAACCTCTGAATCTGTGCAGTTAATCATGTTATCCGGCTCCTCAGCCTTTGGGGAAGGAGCAAGAATACTTAATGGCAATATTTTGCAGACAGTTTGAGGCCTGACAGGAAAGAACGGATGTGTCTCCTCTTCCTCTCATGCCTGCGACCTCTTTAGGCCCCTGCAACACGTCAGCTTCCTCTAAATTCTTTGAAGATGGTGGCTCCTTTCAAGCGAGCAGGACTGTGTTTTATCCTGCCAAAACAGCCACGTGTCTAACACTGTAGATCTAATCTCTGGTTTTTGACTCATCATGATAAAAGGATGATTTTTATTTTTGTTTTTACTGTGATTATTACATTTTTCAGGAGTTTTATTCTAAAAATTAGTGATCTTTTTGTAAAAATAGAATCAGAATATGCTTAAAGTTAATTTGGAATTATAAAAGCATACATTTTGTTTAGTCCTATGAGCCTTTACATCATTGTGTAATCACTTTTAATAACTTTCACAACTTGTTTTCTGAAACGTCACAGGATTTAGCCTCGGTTTAAAAAGCATAAAAGTGCTGAAAAGCAACATCGCAGCCACGTTAGACTGTATTATCATCGTAATGCAGCAGCTGATTGTGTAATGTGAGGACACGATGGAAATGCTGACAAGTGATGATAAAATCTGAACTACTTCCTTTAATTCAAACAACTCAATGGCGAAGAAATAAAACTGTTACAGAAAGGCAAGCGAATGGCGAGTACTGAATAAACAAGAAGTTTAACAGTTTGGGCTTTAAAGAGCAGGTTCTCTGATGACTTTTGATCTGAATGTGCAGGAAATCGACCTTTTCACATAAACTAATGCACATGTGCAATATCAGCACGACACCCCAAACACATTCATAGCTATTCTGGTAAACAAGGTCAGTGTTCAGCTTTTTGGTTCTTCACATCTGCTTTTTTACTGACATTTATATAGATACATTAATTTAACTGGGTTTTTTTTTCCTGTTGCGATAGCTAAATGTTCCCAATATGTATCCGAATGACTGCAGAGCACAGCTTAAACTTAGCATGAACACAGTTTTTAGACTATTTCAATGAACCAAAAGTAGGCATGAATACAGTAGACCATAATGCATTGCAAAATACTGACTTAAAACATTAGTCACCGTAAAAAAAGTTAACTGGAGTGTTTGACTTACAAATAATGCATGTTCTATTTGGTTTGTTATGACACAAGCACAAACAGCACATTTATTAAAAATCATTGATTAATTTGCTTAAACAGCACATTACAGGAGAAAACTGACGAACTAAACTAAACAAGGAAAGAAACATCTTTAAATAAACAGTGTGGTGTGAATGCTGAGAGCTGAATTACTGCTGAAATATGCTTAAGAAGCTAAAAACACAGTTATTTAAATATTAAAAAAACAGCAGAACACTAAAAACTAACAGAAGTAGTGAAAGGCTGGGAACAGAGTAGCAAAGCTCTAGCCACTGAACATGTTGAGTGTAAAAGAGTAGCTAAAAGCCAAATGTAGCTAAAGGCCTATCCTAAACTCAGCAAGATGGTATTAGAAGCAAAGTTGCAAAAAGCTAGCTACAAGCTAAACATAGCAAGACAGTAGCTAAAAGCTAAAAGGTTAGCGAAAACTAGCAGAAAAGTTAATGTAGCAAAAGACGAGGTAAAATGTAAAATTTCAGCTGGAATGCTCAGTCAACTTTCCTGTCACACAACAACTCAGACATTTACAGGCAGTTTCATGACATGCTTTATTTTTAAAATTTTACTAAATTTCTACGGCTATCTAAATTTAATATCCTTCTTTAAAAAGGGTAAACAACATTATTGGTATCAAACTGTGCCACAAAGGCTCGCAGGACATGAGATGCTGTTTAGAGTCCAAAGCAGCGCCCACTAGAGGTGAAAACACTGCTCCAGATGTGAGGTGAACATCTGCAGAACTGCTTTCTTCAATGGGCCCCTCCTCCTGTGGCCTCAGCAGACAGAGTCCGCGTTATTTGTAAAAATAGGTCAACCTGAACATTATGAAAACTGTGTCCATAATGACATAAAAACGCTTCTTTTTCTATGCGTTTTCATTGTTTTTGAGTTAACAAGGCAAAGGTAAAGTTTTAAAGCACATATTTTCGTCAAGCATGTAGGACAATTCAACTTTTAATATGAAATGAGCCATTTATTTATTTATTTTTCATTAAATGGTTGACTTTGTCTGAACATCACATTGTCAGAACTTGCGCAGAAAGTTTGGACTGAACAGTTTGTGGTTCTTACCCCGGCGCTTTGCACACATTCCTGCCTTTCGGGTTGAGTTCTTGGCTGAAAACGCAGAGAAAGAAGAGACAAACCACCACAGGAACCGCGAACGAGTTCTTTACTTCCATTGTAAAAGCAGCAGCATCCTTTAAACGCAGCTTTTATTCCGCATTTTCCTCCGTCAAAACTTTTAAAGAGGACGTTTCTCCGTTTTTATTCCACTCGTGCGCATGGTCCAGATGGATGATGAACTTTACGAAAGAACTTTTCAGACTCCTTTTAGTTATTGTTGCTGGGTTTTGGCACCTGTAAAACCACTGTAAAACCTCGGTGGTTAAAGCTGAACCAGCAGCTGGTCTTGGAGTCCACACTTCCACATCGGTCAGTTTTCTGCCTCTGCTGCGCCATCCAAGAGAAAAACCTCTCCAAATGTCTCCCCCTGCGCGTCTGGAAATGCGGAAATCGTTAGAAAACTTTATCAGACAGTCATAAAGATGATGAAGATGATGGCACCGTTTATTCTTCTGTGGAGACGCGCGGCTCCTCTCGTGCGCGCTCAGGAGCAGCTGAAGGGAAATTCCTGATTTGTTACTCTATCTTTGGCTTTGTGCGCCATGCCTCCACCAAATTTACATACAAGGCTTTATGGGTAACTTGGGGGCAACATGGGCTGCTTTAAGCCTGAATAAAAGCACGACCTAAAGAACTCGAGTTTTTTTTTTGTTAAAAGACATGATTATGAGAAAAGTACTTTAATAAGATGGAAAATGTACTTCGTTTCAGTGAAAATGTTCACAATTGTTACAAACAAATCAGTAAACACAATACTTTGCATAATTGTATTTGTGATTTATTTTCAAATAGCACATTGGGATTTATAAAGCAGTAATCTACTTTTTAAAAAAAGTCTAAGACTTTTGTGGATGAATGGAAAGTGTGTGCGCGCATGCCACTGTGTTGTTCATGGACATATGAGACAATAGCTCCCCCCTCTGTTAAAAGGATGCACCCTAACATCTGGCTCCATGCCTCTTCCAGTAAACACAACCAGCTCAACTGTATCCAGGGTTGGCACACATATTCTTTTTTTTTTTTTTTTTTAGTTATTGCAAGAAAATATTCTGAATGCATTGACTCCTTATATAAATATTTCTAAATCTACGTACAATAAAAAAAGCAAAAATTCTTATGTTTAATTGTTAATTGATTCCACTGTGCTGAAATGTTAGAACAAAAACTGGTTCATTTGGTCCAGCTGAATGCTGTGTTGTTTAATTGTCATATGCAGGTTGGCACAAGGTCAGCAGTGCAATGAAATGTTTAGGATGAGAAAAACCGATTTGACTCGCTAAGAACAAAAAAACAAACAAGAAATATTAAAGCATGCAATAAGGGTACAAAATAAAATACAAAAAAGTGGGAAAAAATGCATTTACAAGGTCCAAAAGAGACAGTAAACAACAACATGGTAGAATATAATAGTGCAAGTAGGATTAATTTGTATGAATTAGTATTTCACATGTGGTAATATAAGCTTAAATGCACATGATATACTGAATATTGCACATAACTAACACATACTACACAGGTTGTATGACAGGTTATTGTAGTAACATTGACATTAATTGAATTATGATGGTAAGGTAGTGACATACTCTATAGGTGTATGTGACATATATATGGCATATATGACATGAGATATAGCTGCCCACTGCTCCACCTGGGTGTATCCCAGGTGTGGTGGGTTAAATGCAAAGAACCAATTTCGCCATTGTTTGGGAACATGCAATGATGACAACACAAAGCACTTTATTTATTTTATAAGTGTGCAAGCCTATTATTTAAAAAAAAAACTATTTTGTACTTTTATTCTTCTGATGTTCATGTAAATTTTATAGCAGGTTTGAGCAATTGTAATATTTCATAACATGTTAAAATACTAAACATGTTACATGAAAGACAAATGTGTACGTAAACATTAAATATGATGCAAACAAAAGACCCACATGTTTAGTTATTAAAGCCCTTAGTCACTCAATACAATAATAAAACTACACTATATTATACTATACTATATTGTAAAACTACAGAGTGCTATCTGGAAGTTATCCCTTCAAAAAAACAAACAAACAAAAAAACTTTATTAAATTTTGCCAAGTTATGTAAAGTTTCATCTAACCTGTTTATTTTTGGGAGAGCGGCCGTGACGTCACAAGCTCTCCACCAATCAGGTGCTTCGAGTTTAGTTTAACATCCTGTTTCTGTTTACACTGTCGCGCGCAGGCAGCATGTTTAGCTAACTTTGCCCTCCCTGACATTTACCTTCTCCCTGCCGGATGTTGTGGGTCAGAACCGCCTCAGCCCTCCCACGGGCCGCTGCAGAGAAGCGGTTACTGTCCGACCTCGGGCTCCGCTCCACCGTCACCTCGGGCTCCGAGCAGCGGGCGGAGTCTGGAAGAAGCCGCGGCGGCGCTCTGCGAGCCTCAGCTCGGTTCCAAGCTCCCCGGAAGCCCGGGAGGACGGAGCGTGTCCCACCTGCCTCCGCTGTTAATGACATCTCCGTTGACTTGGACCGGACCAGAGAGGCCTTTAAAAGCAAAGACTCGTTAGAGCTGCTCAGAAGTTTGGTGGTTTTCAAACTTTGTTCCTATGACTTCCTGGTTGATAACAACGCGGAGGTAATGAAGTGCTATTAGATTCAACATCTGACTACATATTTGAGTTGAAAATTAAAAATCTGTATGGTTATGAGTACAGTTATTATCCTTAATAGTACAATTTATACACTTTTAGTTGCCTGTACTCAGCGTGCTGTGTCATCTTTGTTTATACCCAAATCTTCTTCTTCTTTCGGCTTTTCCCTCTTCAGGGGTCGCCACAGCGAGTCATCCTCCTCCATCTCTGTCCTCTGCATCCTCTGTCCTCACTCCAACTACCTCCATGTCCTCTCTAACTGCATCCATTTATCTCCTCTTTGTCTTTTTCCTGGCAGCTGCATTTCTAACATCCTTCTACCAGTATACCCACTCCTCTGGACATGTCCAAACCATCTCAGTGTGTCCTCTCTAACTTTATGTCCCAGTTGTTCAACCTGTGCTGTACCTCTCATGATCTCATTCCTAATCTTATCCCCTCTTGTCACTCCCAAGGAGAACCTCATCTTCATTTCTACTTCCAGTTCTGTCTCCTGTCTTTTTGTCCATGTGTCTGTCTCCAGACCATACATTATAGCTGGTCTCACCACTGTCTTGTAAACTTTTCCTTTGACTTTTGCTGACACCCTTTAGTCACAAATCACTCCTGAAACTTTTCGCCATCCACCCCATCCTGCCTGGACTCTCTTTTTTTTTTTACCTCTTTACTACACTCCCCATTTTCTTGGACTTCAAGTGCTTAAATAATGCTGAAATGTATTTTCTGCATTTGATGCATCACACATGTTGGATACACAAAAGTGGAGCACTGGGCAGGAGCAGTTCAGGAATATGTGTCTTGCTTAAGGACACCTCAACATATGGACATTGCAGGGAATCAAACAGTAGCTCTTTGACACCGTGTCAGCTGTCCCGCCACCTTTTAATAAGGTTCATTTTGAGTTGAGAGTTTGGGACCAGTGATACAAAGGTGCAGCAGTGGGGTTCAAACCCACGCCTCCGCAGAGACTGGAGCCTAAATCCAATGTGTAGACCACTCGGCCGCATAATTCTATTATGAAAAAACTAAACTTATTACCAATGTTCAAACCCCAGACTGGGGCCTCAATATAATCCAGTGTTTGCAGTTGATGGTTTGAACCCACACTCCTGTGTAACCACTTGAAGTAACCCACATCTCAAGTTACAATTTGTTTTTTCTAACCTTGCATGTCAACTCCAAGCAGACCGTTTCATAACCTCAACCAAATGCGAAACGTGGTTTCTAAATCTGCATGGCAAGCATATGGCTTGTACTTTTTTAACAATTAAATTGTTAGAAAATTGGACAATGATTCGAAAACCACATGGCAAGACCAAATATTAAACATTGCCTATGCAGACATTTGACATTTCTGACTACCAGTGACTCAAATGGCTCATTCTTTAAACCAGTTGTTGTCTTTAATACAAATCAACATTGGAGTAAAGGTTTTAAATGCCCTTTTTTCTTTTTAGAGATGCACGATATTATCGGCATGGTATCGGTATCGGCCGATATTAGCAATAAAGTAAAATATCGGATATCGACCATTCAATCTAAATAACTCACCAATATAAAAG